ATTAAATATAATTATAATAAAAGTTTCAATTAAATAAATCATAAATTAAAATTAGTTTTTTTGTAAAATAATAGTGGTTACGATGTAACATAACAATTTTTGAAATACAATTCAAGTAAATAAAATGCAATGTGTGCGAACATTTTTGTTGTACAAAGATACTTAAATATTATCTAGGACCTAGGAAAAAGTTAGAAATAAAGAATTTTTTATTAAATTTTGAATTGAGACATGTTTGTGAAGTCTGACATTTTTGAGAGCGCATGTACAAATTCTTGTGGTGCAATGCTGTTGTGGCAAAGAGGTCCATTTCTTGCAATATCTGAAAGAACAAGTGCCATTGAACAAATTGTAAATTGCTAGAGATAAATATTGCATTGTGATCTTGTAAAAAAATAGGCAAATTAAAAAGAATTGATAGGAATTCTTTCAACAAAATCGAAAGAGAAAGAAAGAAAATAAGGTGTATTAAGGATTAATTCTCTTCCTCTATTTCCTCTTATTAAGAGAAATTCGTATCAGCTTGAAGAGGCGAAAAATATTACTGAAAAATAAAAATATTTGATTTCAACAGTAGAATATAAAAACAAGTGTTTTTTCGTTAAAAGAAGATAGAAAAAATTAATGATTTTAAAAGTAATTTCCGGTTTTAAAAATGCACGAGTACAATTTCGTAGAATTAATTTCACTTTACAGAAGGTAGTTCCTTTCAATTCACCGACTTTCTGCCGCGAAATCAACAACCGCCACCGGAAATTTGTTGCAACAGAAAGCGGCTTTCGGCAAAAGGATTAATCGCTTCCCGATTCCATCCTTTGTCGAGAACGCACAGTAGGAATGCACACCGACCATTCGCGCTACGTTCTCCGCACGTTGCCGATCGATTCGAACCTGTCCGAGCTCATCTAAGCCCGTCAGCCTCTTGGACTGCCTCGATCAGATCGTCGAGAGAGACTTGATTATCGAAATCTAGAAATAAAGACAATCAATGATGGTCGCTGTTTGCGTTCATGCATTCAAACAATGAATTGCATGCATTTTGCAACGTTGATGGGTAAATTTGGTATGTCATAAAAGATAAAGCTAAATGAGATACAGAATAACAAGAAGAATCTTTTGTAATTTGTATCATGAAAAATATTCATATGATGCAGTATTTTTTCATATGTTGATTTGGACTTTTTAAAATAAACTTCCATAATATTTTTATAATAATATATATTGATCAGGTAAGTAATATTTATCGCAAATACAGAAGAGATGAATTAGAAATTTAAATAATGATAGTTAGAAAGTGTATCTCTTGGACTCAACTATAAAAATGACACGAAATGTCGACTTATATTATTTCCATATTACATAATATCGTTCAATTTACCAAAATAGAATCGCAATCGTATCGACAGATTGCTGCGAGAACGCGATTCTATGTCTACAGTGATTGACACACCGACCCACGAAATTAAACGGTCTTGATTAACGAAATCTGCTGCGAATCGTCGGTTGCTATTATGCAAATGTTTGACGATTTGTAATTTATGTTAATATTTCGACTATATATTATATTTATACGGAGTACTTTTGATAAATTATGTTAAGTCAATATTTATAAATTGAAAAAAAAAAACCAATCTTTTATACAAAACATATCGAGCTTTTAATTTATAAACGTTGATCTGTTATGATTTGTTGAAGATGTTCCGTGCATATCGCGAGATTTGCGCGTATTTCGGAAAACTACTATATTATAATATAATATGAAAATTACTATATTATATATTTTTTTTTAGAAAATGATAGAGTTTTGTAATTATATGTTGAGTGACCGATGTATTGTCTGCGAGTATATGTTTAATGAGCGTGTAGGACAGTGGACTGCAAATATTTGTTGGGACAAAAGTTAGAATTCCGAGCATACAAAAGTCTGTGGATTAGATTAAATTGCATCTCTGCGAGCTTACCGAAAATTTCAAAAGCCCATGTAGCTCGAATGCCCGGGAGACAATTCGCGGAGAAGGCCGAGCAAAAGTCGAGAATGTCCTCAAAGCTCAAACGTCCGTCCTGTTCCGATGAAAATAACCGGTATATCGCGTTGGTGAATGAATGAAATTGAGAATATCGCGTATATTACATGTGTTACATTTTATCATCACACTTGTCTTAAAAACTCGATTTATACACACACGCAAATTCTCTCTCTTTTTCATTTGCTTCGAAAAACATATTGCAACATGTAGACGATTCTCCAGAGTATTTAATCTTTGAAAAGTCAATTCCAAATTAATTAAATCTCTATTACTATATATTAAAATAATAATTTTAATTAAATTTTTCAAAAGCATTGAAGTTTAATTCCAATATGCAAAAATTATTAAAGTCAGCGATCCAGTGAAGACTATACAATATTTAAAGAACAGTTTGTTCCGCTCGTCGCGTCGTAGTTAATCATCGCCTTGTACACATTTCTAACTTGCAGGAAAAAATGCTAACGCTTAAGAAGGATTTATTGCTGTGCGATATACGCGATGTGTAGAGAACAGAAATTCATTCTTGCACTGTGATAAACCAATATCGAAACTCTTTTTGCTATCGGAATTTTGAACATTATTTTTTCTAAAAGTTTTAAGCATATATTGTTATTCAGTTTTACATACATAAAAAGAACATGTTTTATATACTAAATAATGTGGAATTTAGAACTTACGCGAATCTGCGGAAAAATCTTGTCGATCTGCTTCATGGGAAAATGATAATGAAGATTTCTTTTAAGAATGCCTGGTTCTAAATCGTTTAAAAGTTTATAAATCCTAGAAGTTGTAAATTAATTGATTAAATTAGAACAAAAATTGAAATACAACAGCGGAAGGTAGAAATGATAGAAATAATTGTGTAATTGCGAAAACATAGTGTCAGCTTATAAAAGAAACATTTTTGGCGCAAAATGATTAGTGAGATTCTCGATATTTGATGCGCGTCACTTTTATAATGTTTTCCAAATTATTCGTTGATGTATGTACTTTAATGAATTATACGAAATTAAATTCTTTCAATCGCTGACGAATTTCATTTTTGCTCAAGTATGTCAGTTCGACATATTCATCGAGGGCGCCTTCCGAAATAGCGTTCTCATTGGAATCCGAATTACTCATACATACAGTTTCAATTTAATACGTCGACGAAATAACATCTACGGCCGATCTGACTGACTGCTATCGCATTAACGATAACGCACGTTATCACTTTGTCTTTCTCTTACCTGCTTAACGACGATAGCGTTTATGATTACATTGTAATACAAATTTGACGCAATCCTTCTTGTTACAATCTAGACACATTTATATCGATAGAATTTTACAACCGATTGATAAATATTATTAATTTTGAAACTAAATTTAATAAAATAATCTATTCACATGACACACGTTAGTAATCGATACGCAGACTTAAATCTCTTAAATAATCTCTTTTATCAAATTCGTGTTATAAAAAAAATCGTTTATAAATTAGTCAAGGAATATTTCAAGACAAATTATATATAAAAGGGCATATATATCATTTGTTGAACGCGGTTTGTGCACGCGTTGAGTATATTAATTATTTCTGCTTGTTGGCCGCTGAAATAATGATCTGTGGACGATCAATTTTGTGACGGCGTTTTAATTAGTTGTTTAACCAGCCGTCCATCAATGTATTCTGGGTTTATTATCACATTTTAAGACAAATGTATATCACGACATAAATAAGGACACGTTGGCGGATATATATATAAATATATATATTTATTTATTTATATATTTATAATGACGTACATAAAGAGGTACGCGCGTATATGTGTGTATTCGCAGGAGAGAGATCGCTTAGAATTAAGCGGCGCCATGCTGCGCGCAAACGCTTAAACCGATTACACGTGGAACGCGCGGAATTTCGCATGCGAGCTTT